ATGAAAAATACATGTTTGACATAAAAAAATCACACAAAACCTGTTTGACATGAAAAAATGACACGAAAACTATTTGACATGAAAAAATCACATGAAACCTGTAATAACATGATTACTCATAATTTTATGAAATACGTACCTGAATTAGCAAAAAATTCTTATGACTCCTGTAAAACCCTATAAACAACCTAATTAGTCATAAATATGTATATCACATGAAAAATCACATTAAACCTGGAAATACCAAACATGTATGTAATTAAGACTGGGTAGTTGAATCGACTATAAGAAACAAAACCAGTTAGGTTTCAAAACCATGAGCGCTTCAAAACCATGGGCAAAACCAGCAGAAAATTTACTGATCTAAATAAATATTGTTAAATTCAACATCCAACTACCAACTAAACGTATCAGTCTATATACATCTATAAAATGTAATGTTTGCATACCAAATATTAGGACTATGAAATTGTGGAGGCAAAGTAGGAGAACTTAGCATGTTTGTAAATGACCCCGGTTGGTGGTGCATCGGGAAGTAATTGCCATCATGGAATGGCATGTTGGAAAATGCATGAGGTGGTTGTCCAAAGTATGACTGCTAAAATAAAAAATACCCACTATCGCCTTGATGCATAAACTGAGGGGGTTGACGTGGTGAAGGTTGATATAGAACTACACCCTTATCTTTATGATTATCTCTCTCACTTAATGATGTATTAGCAGCCATTACTAATTCAATTGAGAGAGTTAGATACTATATAATTTGCTGAATAAGCAAAACATGAATAAAAAGCAAAGCATAATAACTGGAAAATGCAAAACATAGAGTTAAAAAGTACATACATGAGCATAAATAGTATAACAAATATGAAAATTAAGTCTTAGTGGTTACACCATGATTATACTTATCACAATAGCCAACCCACATTGCCCAATCAATGTCATTCCCGCTCATTTTTTGATTCAGTTTGCTCTCTTTATGTTTGAGTTTGAGTAAAATCAACTAAATTATTGCCATTATCATTTATCACCTCACCATCAATATCTTCATTAAAGTCGAACTCGTTGAGTAGTTCATCATTTGGATCAATAGTGGCAATAAAATTATGAAGTTTACACAACTATCACGAAAACCATTATATATACACTCTATAAGTTCAATTCTAGTTTTCTCTTGTTTTATTTTTTCATCACTCGGACCCCTACGAATTGATTTATGTTCTAGCTTGCATTTGTTAGACCCTAGAGGGGGGTGATTAGGGTCTTATGCTAATCTAATCTGATTAAATGCTAATTAAAAACTAGTTAACAAGTTATCCTAGAAAGTATGAAATACAACAAGATATATGAGCTAGGATAAGCAATATGAATAAAGATATATATCCTATATCATAAATATATACAAGGATATATAAACTAGCACAAGATGATATATCCTACCAAAGAGATATACAATATGATATATGCAAGGATATGTAAACTAACACAATGGTAAACAAAAAGAACTATATAGTGGATGATAAAAATAATAAGCTATGGACAATGGCGATAAGAAATATAAACATAAGATTAAGTACGCCAAAGCAAACTCAAACATACGATATGATCACGGAGTTCGGACCTTCTGTCCTACGTCTCCACTCCCCTCTCCCGGGGAGAAATCCACTATCACAACCGGGTTTTCTACGTTCACCCGAATAATGTTTACACCTCACACTCAGTTTTCTAGCTAACCGAAAACTTTACAATCAATACTCTTGCAATCACACTCTACACCATCACAAGTGTTGGACCTAGCCGTGTCTCCCTCAAGTGCTCGGTTACAACCTCTCCCTAGGCTCGTCAACCGACGCCACTCCTCTTGGAACGATCCCCGACTCTCACCACACACTCCTCTCGGTGTACAAGTGTAATACAAAGTGAATCTCATAATATGGCTCAAAATAACAAGTGATTGTTCTCCAAAACGAGTGAGAACACAATGAAAGCTCACACTCAAAGTTACAATTCTCAAAGCCCAAACAAGAAGGTGATCTCCTCCACTTGTGAAAACTTCTTCACAAACCAAACAAACACTAAACACACTTAAACCCTTATTTAAAACTTGTTTAAAAACTTCTTGGTTTGCTTGATAGAACTGAGGCATAAGGGGTATTTATAGAAACCCTAAAGCCAAGAGAAAGCCAAGAAAAAGACCAAAAAACCACACTGCAACGGCTCTGGAAACTAGTCGTTGGGACTGATCTGACAGAGCGGCGGTCGACCGCGAGCAACAAAAAATCAGCAAAAAACTCCAGAGAGTTCGACGGTCGACCGCGGCGGTCGACCGCGAGAAATTTTCAACCGACGGTCGACCATGGCGATCGACCGCAAAAGTTTCTGCTGCCCACTATGCAAAGAACTCAGGCGCGGTGGACCGTGGCAGTCGATCGTGAACTGATACATGAAATACAGGTTTTGAAAAACTATTTGCTGATTTTAAAACACTGTTTAAAAATATCAAATAAATTCCAAAAAATATAAAACTTTGGGGAATGATTATAGACATGATAATAAACATGCTACAATGACTGGTTTATAAAAAGGACTTCCCAAATGAAAAATATCATCATTTTACAAAATAGTCCAAAACATGAAAAGTTGATATACATGAAATTTAATGTTTTGACATAAACACAACTTTGAAACATTTTCAAACGTTCTTATAGACTTAATAAAAGATGTAAAAAGTTGTTATAAAGTCTATAAACTAGAAACATAATATTTTCACAAATATGCATATTCTATGCAATATTTTCTAAAACACAAATATGTAATCTCATATTTATAAACATGGAAACCCAAATATAAATCTAAACTTAGATAAAATTTGTATGTATATATAAAACTATATATACATAGAAACCAAAACTAAAATGTGTGTGTATATGATATCGAGCTTAAAATATTAAACACACATAATATAAATCTAAACTAATATACCCAAGCAATTTTGATCTTCAATAAGCTTGACTTGGTACACTATGCGGATGAAGCTGAACTTGGATCTTGAATTTGAATTGCATAAGCTTCACTCCACAATTTCGCCAACCTCCATTTGATATTGTCATTGAAGCGCTATTCCATCCATCCTCCAACTTGTTGTTTGCCTAGAATAAATACGAAAACACAAATACTAGACAACCAACATTAGAAGTAAATTATTTGTTAAACATCATCAAAACAAGAAGGCCAACAACATTCTCCTCATGAATATAAATATTATAAAAAAATAGATAGCGCAACCCCTTGAATCATGTTAACAACACTTTGTTCATCCATACAATCCCCATCACCATAATCTATGAAACAAATATTAAATTGAAATAATTAATATGGCTAACATACATCCATGAAAGTAATGGTAATGAAATAAAGTATGAATTAGAAAGAACATATGAATTACATGAGAGACATCAATATAATCAATGAATAGAAGTTTCAAAAAAGTTGAGTAGCATATCGACAATATCAAAAGACTCATAGATAACAACATATAGCAAAAAATATTAATCAACAAATAGTTGGATACTGATGTGTCATTTAAAAATAGTTGGATATTGATGTGAAGCTGACCAAGCATCCCTAAATAAAATTCCCAAATAAATCCAAAACACTTGGTAACATGCTAAAGCTTCTCAGTAGAATACATTGGAATTGTGGATAAAGACTTTGCTAGTCTACTGTTACCCGAGAGAAAAAAAAATCACATAATAAAAGTCTACAGTAATCTAGAAGAATTGAAAATATAGAGACTTAATCATATCTTAACACACAATAATACAACACTCAATAAGAAATTAATAGAAGAATTAAATTAATACTACCAAGACGAAGCAATTAGGATAAAGACTTTGTTATTGGTTATTGCAACGTTCTATCGAGAGCAAAACAAACAAATGTCTGCTAACATCTTGAAAATGAAATGATCAAGGTGAGATGTAACAAGGAGAATGATGATGGCAGAAGGCTCTCAATTCATGAGATAGCACAAATCGAGCAATGGAAATGTGACATGATAACTTGGGTGATGACAACTCTTAGCTAAACATTTTGCTACACAACTGATAAATGTAGCAAAGGGATTTACTCACAAAGAAAAATTATTCCCAATACATTTAGAAGGGGAAAAACCGCAAGATCAAAGACCTATTTACCTAAAATAAAATAAAAATTGCACAAATAATACCTAAAATTGCCAATTTTGCACAAAATCAAGCAACAATCACAATGATTCCCTAAGAAAAACGTCTTTTTTTTTAGTTTCAGCAAAAATCGGAAGAAATTAGCAGCCCTACTAAGATCCAAGGTAGGCTAAAGGGGGAAATCACAAGCATAAAAAGCCGAGGCGCGAAGAGAGAAATAGCGGGAAATGGTGGTAACCATAGCCAACAATCTGATATCCCCCAAATTTTTGTAGATCTGACAAAAGGACACACGTGATGGGGTTTACATCCATTTTCGCTCGATTTGGAAGGAAATCAGGGTAAGAGAACTGGCTTAGGTGGAGCTCTTTTACGCCGCTTCAAACCCTAGCCCCCTCCGTGAACCAAATACAAACAAAGAAAAAATGGGAAACAAAAAGTCATATGTGGACACTGTGTCAGGAGAAGAAAAAGGCTTTCGGGGGTCTTTTAAACGAACCAAACGACCCCTTAGATTAAATTTGGGCTCCGATAAAAAGAAAGAAAGAAACGAAACAAAAAGAAAAAGTTAACTTAGATTTATTTCTAAATTTTGAGAAATACTCGTGGAGGCCTAAAATCTACGGAACAGATCACAATATGTAATTTCATATGTTAACGATTATTATCTAAAATTAAGACTGTTAAGAGGGAAATACTCAACACATTTTGAGAGAAATAGAATCTCGTCGAAATTACTACTTCCATCAATTGCGTTTAATTTGGATAGTGATTTTGGTCCGTCGAAGGTCACTGTTGAAAAGTCCAGACAAAAAAATAACAAAAGATTGAAAAAAAAAAAAAAAAACACCGGCGCTGTTCTCTCCTCTCCGTTTCCCCCAAAATCCAACCCATCACCCGAGATTCTCGACGCGATCGCTGTTCTTCGATCGCGATTGCTTCTGCCATTCCTTGTTCCGATCGATCTCCATCTGGAATTTTTCTTTTTTTGATCTGTGGATTTTGAGGTGGTGGATCTTAGGGTTTTGATCGATCGATCGATGGGGTTGTTGTTCGTGGAGACGCTGCCCGGGCCTAAGGTTTTCAAATGCAGTTGCTGCAAGGTTGATTCGGCGTCGCACGACGCCATCATCTCCAAGGATTTTAACGGGAGATTCGGCCGAGCTTACCTCTTCAACAGCGCGTGAGCGATCGTTTTCTTTTGATTATTTGGCTGTTGTATCATCTGATTCTAATCATCATGTCTTGATATTTTCTTTGAATTGGGATGAATTTTTGATTCCCAAAAAGTGAATGTGATGTCTATTTAGCTATGGTTCTATCCCGTGGATTGAGCTTAGAAGTTGTAAACAATAAAAATGTATGGAGGTAGTATTATAAACGGATTCAGTATAGTCGTATAGTCGACAAGGCTGTTGTGGTCTCTTACGAATGCTATCGAATCCACCCTCAAACTAAATAGGGTTTGAGTAACCTCACTCTAACGGCTAGCTTAGTTAGCTTTTAAGGTACGCTACAAATGGCATCGAATACAACCTCATCTTTCCACTTGCATTGTTATTGTATTGTTCACCTTGGACAGGTCTAGATGAAAGGCAAAAGTGGCGAGTCTATTTAGTCCCGGACTGACTAAATGCGGAGTCTATGTCGGTTTATAAGGGATTTGGTCCTTTATCTACTAGCTTTTAAGGGTGAGTTCTTCTAGGTCTCTTATACAGCAGTTAACGGCTCGCTTTATACCGAGTCAAATAAGGGTTCGGGCTTTTGGATTTGTACATTAGGAAATGACAAGTAGTTGTTTTTTGTTTAATTAATATTATTTTTATTAGCTGTTGATCGCTATTCGGGTCGAAGAGAAGGAAAGGAAATAAGTGATAGAAATGAAGAAGTTAGATCCCTCTATTCAGTACTGAAGGACTAGAAGAGTTAAAAGAATGGGACTTGACTATAATTTTCTTTCTCTTTGTCTTCTGTTGAGTTTGTGATTTGAGATGCTAATGTCTATGTCCAGTAAAAATCAATCATATCATTAGTGGATAGTGACCTTGCTGATTCTTTGTTGAATACTCTGTAGTGTTTTCTAGTGTTGATTGTGAATTAGGAACAGGATTTGTTGTCCCTAGACCTGATTTTTGCTGGTGCAATAATGCTTAAAACTAAAGATTTGGCTTAAGATGGTACAATCCCATATGCTTGTGAATAGAAAAGAGTACCCACAGATTCACCCAAGCATGTGAGAAGTTCACATTTTACCATACTCTTCCTTAGTTTGGGACTTCTTTCTTCTTTTAGCTGGAAATAGGATAGATTTGCGTATATATATTATACATTATCTGGTTGTAACAAGGTGACTTTACTGCCTCTATACTTTTGCTGCCTTTGGTACTGGGAAAAAGTGAGGAGTGTAAAGAAAATGGTTGAACAAGATGCCAAACAAAAAATAAACTATGAAAATTGAAGGTGAAGACAATGGAAAAAGAACTGCATTTCTTCCATTTCTTTCGCTTGGGATTGTTTCGTGGGTTATAGGTTGTTTTATGCGTGTTGGACTTTGTATCCTTGTATAGTGTATTTTTATGCAATAAGTTTGATTTTGAGTTCAGGAACTTGGGGATACTTGGATATTTTGTTTTGTAAAGATCATTAAACTCTTCTCAATTACTGAAAAATTAAACTAAAATTGTAACATTTCTCTCTGTGATTCAACTGGAGTTATATGAGTTAGAAAGTATCTAATGATGCATCTCACTACATAATTACACTGCTTGAGATGTTCCTTTTTCTGGTTTTCTGGTTTCATTGATGTAATGCAAACTGTAAGCAATTTGTTTGATGTTTGAAAGCCTTTTGGGACACAGAAATGCCAGATCAAAGTGTAATCACTGCAACATTATTGAATGTTGTCACGTGTTGAATAAAAAGGGATATTCAATAGATACTCATGTATGGTAGGTGAAATGATGATTCTTGACTTGATACAGATGGCAAGTAGCTGATCAGCAGAACAATTTGAACAATTTGTCATGACCACTAGATACTTTAAAGTGCTTACCTTGTATCTAAACTAGTTATTGAGTAATGATATACAACTAAATTCCAATGATGACTGACATTTAATTATGAAATTATTGATATGCAAATATGGATTCTTGACCTTTCTTTTCTACCTGTTCCCATTGTTGTATATAATCAACAAAAAGTCCAACCAGAAGTGTTGTAATCCTTTCCAGTTATATGTAACTCACGACTTATGTCTTAACTGAGGTGGATGGTTAACTGGTAGGGAGTCTCACCAATTATAAGGACAAGAAGCTCCAAAGTTCTGTTTCCATAGGCTAGTCGGTTTGTCCTAAAGGCCACTGTTATCATCTGTGAACGGGAACAATGAAGTAATTGCATACTTCACTGTGCAATAATATGTTTGTTAGCAACTTTCTGATTTTAAATTCAATAACAACTTTCCTATTTTAAGTTTGTTAGCAACTTCCTGATTTTCTCTCGTCCACTTTTTCCAGAGCAGAAATGTTGAGGGTTTGTCTGTCCTATATATTTCTTGCTTTGGACACTATATCCTCATTCCAAAACTTAAACCATTCCCTATCGCCTTGTTTGGTACGTGGAAATGTTGTGAAGTGAAAATGGAATGAAACAAGGAATGTAATGGAATTAATGTGAGAATGGAATGCTCATTTCTATTCTCATGTTTGGGTGCGATTAGAGAATGAAGTGAGAATGAGCATACCTGGAAGTTATGTATTCTTTTTCTATTCCCACTTAAGTGGGAATGCTCATTCCAACATCTCATTAGAAATGGTCATACCCATATAAAGTGGAATTAATGAGAAGTGGGAATGAGATTTCTAGCTTCTAAAAATACATCGTGTTTGGTACGAAGGAATGAGAAGTGGCAATTGGCATTCCACTCTCACTCATTCCCACATACCAAACGAGGTGTATATGCAATTATTGAGTCTGCCAGCAATAATTTTATGATGAATTTAAACCCTAAAACTAGTACTACACCCGTTTCTAATCTATATTTGGCCTATCTGTTACCTTATCCTTGCTGAAGATCTATTTTACAATCAAATGTAAAGAACTATCTACTGCTTATTATTTCTTTTCTCCTTATACTTTCCTTTAACTTGAATTGTTCTGTATCTTAAGCATATAAGTAATCTAGGATATGGTAACAAAGATTCTTTTTTATTTCAGAGAAGCTTTTGAGTTTTTTCTTACAGTTTATTGATAGTTAACAGCATAATAAAAGCATAAAAGAACTACAAAATTCCCCTCTGCTAAACTGGAGTGTTATAACTATTCAGTCATTAACTAAGAACTACAGAGTTTCCATTGGTTTAATCTAGTTTGCCATTTAAAGCTAATCCCTACACTAACTCCGGAAAATAAATTTCCTTGGTTCTATGCACACCAACACGTGCGAACACACAAACTCACTTACACATGTATGCACACACACGTACACACATATAGATATATATACACTGCCACATGTATGCATGTGTGTGTTTTCCTAATGTGGCTTCCATCATGTGTTTTCCGGTTTATTTCTACTTTTCTGAGGACTTACTGTATAATACTAGATTCATATGCACATTCCATCATTTGTGGACTCCTTTCTGAATATTTTAAATTTAAACTTTCAGGGTGAATATTTCCCTAGGACCTACTGAAGATCGGCACCTGCTGACTGGATTGCATACAGTGAATGACATTTACTGCAGCTGCTGCCAGCAAATATTGGGCTGGAGATATGTAAGTTACCTTATGAATTAATATTCTCTTATTTTTTTTCCATAAATGTGTACACATGCATGTCGGGGACTGGGAGAAATAGGTTACATGGTTGACGTAGACTCATCTACATTGAATTCATTCTTTGTCTGCTCTTTGCAGTGTGTTTGAAAAAAATATTGTGTGATGCACATGCTAAGGGTTAATATCTAATTTTTTTGATGTGGGATCTGATCATTCTTTTGCATCCGAACTGCAAAATTACTCATTGATTTTTGCTCTTTAGCTCACCAAACATTGTGAAATTTCTGTTTTGTTTATACTTGACAATTTTCAGTAGTTGGAACTTGGAACATCTACCAGTATATAGTTCTGGAAATTTGTACAAGTTATTAACAATATCAATCAATCAATAGGCAGTTATAATTTTATTACATCTGTATTTTTTGTAATTATCTCATCCAAGTTTATATTGTATGGAAAATGTAGTATCCTGTAAATAGGTTCTAACTTGTAATATAGGACAGAACTCCTTCGTTTTTTCTGTTTTGATGGCCTACACAGCATTTAAATTAGACTAATTAACTACACTCAAAACTATACCTAAGGTAATTTATTTTTAAAGTAGATGCTATGGTTCAACTTGTAACATATATACTTGAGCGGAGCCAGGATTTCTTTCGGGAAGCTAAAATACAACCATCATATTATACATAAACAGTAAAAGCAATCAAATATAACATATATAATAAAATTTCACATATTTAAGTAGGTGAAAGAAGAGCTCGGAATAAAAGTTATAGTGTATTATCATTATGTCATAGTTAAATTGCTCTTTTTTCTTATTATTGTTTGTAATAAATTTCAATGATATAATTTATAGTGTATTGTCAGTTTGTCGGTCTTCAAAAAGATTATAATTTGTAGTTTGTGGTTATGCACAAACCGACTATAATCGATACATTCTTGAAAAGAATAATCTTTTTTCAGCCACCACTTAAATATGGTGAACAACATGTTAGTCCAAATCCGGAAATTTGAGTTGTAATCATCCTCATAAAGTTCAAAGATCAGAACGTGAAAAAGTTGACCTTTCTTCTTCGATGTGTGGTCCTGAATTGCACTCACCAACATGGATGTATCATTTAAATTGACAAGATTGCGCTTATCGCTATTATCTGAGGGTTGGTCTATATCAATGCAGACTTCAAAATGATCCTCTTATCAAGTTGAGAGAAGCGCTATTGTCATTTATATTATGCTTATTTTGCATTGTTCCTATCATGGATTGATATTCTCCGTCTAATGATGCAGCTTTTTTGCTTATCTTGTTATCATTTGACAAGCCAACGAGATATATTGAACAACATAAATTTGTTCTTGAGGCTTTATGCTTGCGAGAAAGTCAATGATGGAGAACATTGTGCTTTCATTCGGCATATTAGTAAGGATTCTAACTCATTCTATAAAACTGTCGTAAAAGAATGAATGATCTAATAAATGCTTCTCAATGTATTAAAAAGTTGTTCAAAAAACATACTTAACAAATTGCAATAAATTTGGTACAACTTCAAGAATCAATAAACATAGCAAAATAACCTACATTTCAAGCTTGTGCTTATTGTGGTCCTGAGGAAAGACTGGATTCTCTCAATCGTGATAACTTTTTAGAACTTCAAAAGTTGTTGGTCTCTTAAAATGAAAAAAACTTTAGATATTATTATTGTTTTAAACAAAGCTCATGAGAATATCTCTGATGCATTAGTACAAATCCAAAAGGAGTTTATTCACATCTTTTCTTACGAAGTCAAAAGAGAAACTAAAAAGCATTAGGTGATGCAAAATTTTACACTGTTGTTGATGAAAATTGTGATGAGTGTAGAAGAGAGCAAGGGACTACTAGTATGAGATTTGTGGATAAAGATCGATTACATGAATATTTTTTTTGTCGACACCGTCTTTTTAATTTTAACAAATGACATTTTTTCATTCTCTCTCGTCATGTGTGGGATGCTCAAAATAGAGGGCAAGGACATGACAGAGCTAGTAATATGAGTGGTGAATGAAATGACTTGCAAGCTTCAATTCGCGAGCAATGCTTGCCTGGTTATTATATTTATTGCTTAACTTATCGCCTCCAACTTACTTTAGTTACGACATCTCAAAAAGTATCTTTCGTTCATTAATTTTTCTATATGTTAGTTTTCATCATCAATATTATTAGTGCATCATGCATTGGATTTGCATCCATGGTGCAAACAATAAATGTGAGTATGGAAGATGGTTATTCAAGTTCACACTTCAAAACGTGTAAGAGATTCTCGATGTCATTCTTTAACGATAAATCAACAATGTCTCGTACATGGACACGAACAAAAAAATTTCACGTATGATCTTTCTTTAGGTTTGTACTAATTTATAAGAGAGATTGCTAGGAGCTTTGTCTAATACGATATATGAATTTTTTTATTGTAAGAGACCAACAAATTTATAAGTATTAAAAAGTTATAAGAGTTAGGAGAATTTAGGCTTTCCTCATTACCACGAAAATCACAAGCTTGAAATGTAAGTCATCACATATGTCAATTGATTCTTAAAGTCGTAGCCAATTTATTGCAATGTTGCAAAGGCATGCTTTTCGAAGTTCTCAACCATTAGATCATTCGTTGATTTTACGACACTTCTATAAAATGAGTTAGGATCTTATCCAATATGCTGTAAGAAAACACACTTTTATCCATTATTGATTTCTCCAAGTGTAAACCTTCAAGAATGAATTTATTTTGTTCTATTCATTCTGTTAGCTTGCTAGAAGATAAGAATATAAGCATGAAGCCGTATTACTAGATGAATAATATCAAATGATCAAAATAATGCAAACAAAGAGTAATAAAATTGATGATGACCAGGGGCGGATGTACTTATGACCTTAGGGCATAGTTGCACTCCAAGGTACATGAGATTTATTTTTAATACCTTATGAAATTATGGTTTGTCTTCTTACTCGTAAAAGTATTTGCACCCTAGCTTATGAGAAGGGCATGATTGAAGTTTTTCGAGTTGATTTCTTAGTGGAAGATGATGTCAATGATGACCTCAATGGAGGAAACAATGTTGAGGCGATTGTTTAGGTTTGGGAACATAGTCATTTCTTTGTGTTTTTAGTTTCCTTCATATGGGCTATTGGGCTCTTTGGAATTTCATTGGTTCGATGAACTATTTTGTGGAGGAGAATAAGGCTGTAGCTTTGGTACTAAGTTTGGATTTCTTTTTTTTTAAATTGAACTATTTGTAAATAGTAAAGTCAAACCGCATTCGCTCACATGCCCAACATCCTAGCTATTATAGTTTCATAATATTATAATTTTAATTTTTGTTAAATAGATAGTT